TTTATATCCCAGTTTTTTAGTAAAAACAAAAGTGCAGAGCAACTCCAACAAACTATTCAGGTCTATCTTCAGCATATGTACAACACAAGTGGGGAGGAGAGCACTCTAGCTCCAACTTTTCATTGTCAATTTCCTGATGTGAGACTGAGATGCAGTGTTTGGGAACTGGTATGCGAGGGGGCCTCAGCCCAAAATTCAGACGGGTGGCTGCCACTTCCCTGATCACAAGTTGTCTATTCCTCCTCCAGGTCTGTGAAGGACAGACCGAGTTGGAAGGACAGACCATGCAAGCCAGAATTCCAGTGATCCGATGTTCAAGCTCCTGTGTAGCGTCTCCACAGATACAGTCAGGTCCTCTCTTCAGACATGTCACCTTCATGTGAGGAAACCAATGACGAGGGGCAGAGCTAGTATAAACATCTCTTGACATGCAGGGGAAAATGTTAGTGATGTGTAACATGAGGTTATACCATATTTTTCGCTCTATAGGATGCATCTGACATAAGACACACCTAATTAAAAAAAAAACTCCGCCCCAGCCAGCTCATCATCCGGAAGTGCTCCCTGCCATGAAAGGGGAGGAGAAGGGCGGCGTGGTGGTGATGGTGGTGGTGGGAAGCCATTATTCACTCCATAAGATGCACACACTTCCCCCCTTTTTTGGGGGAAAAACTGCGTCTTATGGAGCGAAAAATATGGTACATCAACAAGGAGTGTATATGGAAAAACGTGTATATGGATGCTAACTTTGTTTCTACTGCAAAAACAATTAAAAGATAGAAATCCTGCAAGGAACCATGAAATAAAATCCCTGGGTCCTTTGTGCATAAAAAGCTGTCTCAAATGACACCCACCCCCCAATCTTTAAATTAATTATCAACAAAGACTGGAAATATTCTACAACAGAAGCAAGTTTCATTTAGTTTGGGCACTGTATTGATTCCACATTTGCAACCCCATACCATTTGGATTTTATTATGTGGTTGCTGTGGCATCTTAAGAATTATTATTGTCTGTTTTGCCAATATAAAGCAATGATTTTCTACTCCTCCCCACCCTCCCCACTGAAGACTAAATACAGTTAATTGATTTCTCATTGTTAGGTACCATCATAATTTGTTTGTATGTGTATGTGGGTGGGGGCACTAAAAATGTATGGTTTATATGTTTAAATGGAAATATAAGGAATGGACTTTTAGAAGAACTGTGGACTGATCTAATTCAGAGCAGCCATGCACAGTCACAACCTCTGAGACTGTAACTTCATTACATTTTGCTTTCCTGTGGCTTGATTCATAGCCTATTTTATGGTTCCATTCAGATTAGGGGATTGTACAAAGACTGCAGATTTTTTGGTGCCGGAGTCCACATTGGCCCCTCAACCCAATGTCATTTGATCTGTGCCACAATCCACAGACCCCCCTTCCTTTGAGCTTGCCATCTGCTGATCTGTGACTCTACTTCTATGGTTTATTATAAAGCCAGTGGGCTATTTAAAGTGTTGCACAGTGTTAGGGAAAAAAGACAGTTTTCCAAAGTTCTCCATAATGTACAAGCACATATTGGAGTGCTTGTACATTATGGAAACACAGACATCTGCTGTATTTCATTGGAATTGTTTCCATCCCATATAAATTTTTATCTTTTTGTGTGTGTCTATGCAGAGATGATTTAGCATTAAATAACTATATCAATGCAATGATGAGGTAATCTAGTGCTAAACACAGTATTTTTTTTTTAAACTGCTTTGGGACAACTAAGGAAAAAGATTGCAGTGGTGGGTATTCCTGCTTTCCAAAACATCACACCAACTTAGTATGTCACCAGAATACCACTCGCAGTCATGCCTTCTGTCCTTTTGGAGAATGAAACAACTGATCGCATGGAGAAAACAACTCCTGAATCATTATAACTTTAAAAAAGTAGAATCCCCATTGGAAAAAAGGGCCAGGCTGATTCACACTGGCCACGTGATCAGTTAAAAATAATCAAATACATCATTTTACTTCTGTAGCAAATCCCATACTATTTACCCATGCAGTTGCAGCCTCAAGTGTGCACAAATAAAGTTGGTTGCTTGACTCAAAAACCTGTGTTCCTCATTGCATATACTACAGTATGAACTGTTGGATAGCTCCATCGTTTAGGTATTTGCTTGTGGAGCCAGAGGTTCGGAGTTCAATTCCCCACTGTGTCTTCTTGATAGTGGCTGGACTCGATTATCCCTAGGGTCTCCTCTAGTTTTCACTTCTAAGATGATGATGATGATGATGATGATGATGATGATGATGATGATGATGATGATGATGATGATAACTAAAGTACACAGTGAGACTAGGAGGCTTGTACATTACTTGAGGCAAGCTTTAGCTGTTATGAGCTGACTGGACAGCTTAGTAGTTTAGATATCTGGCAGTAGAGCCAGAAGTTGAGAGTTCAAATCCCCACTTGCCTCCTACAAGTGGAGCCAGCCTATGTGGTCATGGGCAAGCTACACAGTCCCAGGGTGGCCCCAGAAGAAAGGAATGGTAAACCACTTCTGTGTATTCTCTACCTAGAAAACCCTGGAAAAATTTGCTATAAGTCAGGATTGACTTGACGGCACAGTTATTATTATTTTATAGTTGTCATGCAGTTACTAGCTGACTGCAACAGTTGAACATAATATAAATATTATTTTCACCTTCAGCAGATGTATACAATCTGAGACAGCGTTATTCTGCTGTCTCTGAGCATCATCCCTCATTGCTTCCCCCAACAAGCTAAAAATTCCAAGAATTGAACCTAAGCAATTGGGTAGCAATGTTCTGCATCTATCCCTGGTGGTGAGAGGTAAGTCACACATTAGCCAGTGCAGCGGAAAAGATCTGGATTTCCAAAGAGGCAAAGAAGAGCAGCACTACTGCATCCTACATCAAAAAAAGCCATATGCCTGAAGAAAATTATCATCTTTTCAAAAGCTACTGTGGCCTTTGTCAACCTGCCAGTGAGATCTATTACCTAGTAGGGCTTTGCTTTATTGAAAGCAGACAGGCGATTTCGTTTGTTTTAGATACTTGGAGCAAAAAAAATTTCTTTATGGGTTTATCTAACCATTTAACATTTTTATGTAGCATTATCCATGGTTGAAGTTCTGTTTTCTGATTGTAATTCAGAACTTATTATAAGGTTGCTTTTTTTTCTCATTCAGAAGTGGAAATGTCCCCCAGTGATTTTCTTTAGCACCAGATCAGATAACATGTAACAGAATATATTTTAAAGCTAACAAGAAATGCTTAATCAACCACCACCAATAAAACGTGAAATCAAGCCACAAGGTACAATTCAACACAAATTAAGCACTTTCAAAAAGTATTTAAAATATTTTTTCAACAGGAAACTTAAATGGGTAACTAAATATTTTCAAATTAAATCACTGCATTTTAGAAATGCTTAATATTGGTCAGATATTGTATAATTTTTAAATGATGCACTTAAAAGTACACAGTAACGTTGGATTGTTCAGAGATTGAATTCTGTCATGTCTCAATACATTCATCTCTGTTTATGTTATGCTGAATAAAATGACTTTTTAAATCTTTCTCTCTCTCTGTGTGTGTCCATTCCAGCTTGAGCTATCAGTATAAAGACCTACTTCATATCACATGCTTCAGACCTTATTGCAGGGAGATAAATAATTTACCCAGAAATGTGAAACAAAGCATGCTAAACTCAAGATACATAGCTGAGGAAAATCATTTGTATGATAAATAAAAATATTTCACCATTTTGGACAGCATGTTTTGTAATGATTTCTGGAGTGCTTTTGAAAAAATCACATTGTGGAAGGAAAATAGGTTAATAATAGAGTATATCCATTCCACTTAATGCATCATTTTACCTTGTAAGCTTCACACTAGAGTAGGCCCATTGAATCAATGGGAATTAATTCCATTTGAGATGGGGATGACTCACCATTTTGGTGAGTTGTCCCGCTTTGTGAGTCATCAAAAGTCGACGATTCACAAAGCATGAAGTTGTTCCCATAAAGTAACATATAACAAAGTTATTTTTTTAAAAAAACCGCCCCCCTGCTGCCACCGTCCCCACCACTGCCACCCTCACCGCCGTGCCACCACCAATCCCCCTCCACTCCTCCAGCCCCAGGGACACCCCCTTCCTATTAAAAAAACCCCAAACCACAACCATTCTGCCTACTGCCTGCTGATCAGCTGATCGGTGGCCGACAGACAGACGCCGCCACCCACAGCCACCCACCAACACAGCCTACCCCCACCCCTTCCTCTCTCTACCTTAGCCCACCCCCACTGACACCCCCTTACCTTAATCGCTGCTGCTGAGGTCTTCATCTGGCCTCCCAGCCACAGCATGTAAAAAGGGAGACTGCCCTTTGCAAATATGATGGCTGCGGCTTCATTTAGGGTAAGGAAGATGCTGCCATCTTTGCAAAGGGCAGACAGGATGGTGTTTTTTGTTTGTTTGTAATATGAAGGACGAATAAAAACACATAAATATTCATCCCTTTGTATTCATGGAACCCACAAATATTAAGGGATGAATATTTAAGGGATCATCTATTTTCATCGAAAAAGCTGATCCGTTTTTATATTCATCCCCATCTCTAAATTCCATTCATTCAAATGGGCCTGCTCTAACTATGACTTCCTATAGTGGAGTACAATAAGTCACAGAGTAGGCCCATTTGAATCAATCTAACTTTCACAGGAGCTGGCTCACCAAATCCCCATTGGCTCAATGGGCCTACTCTAGTGTGATTTATTATGCTAACCAACAGGATTTTGGTCATTAAGTGGCAAAATGAATTCATACTGTCTCTATAGTACATTCAATGTAGTGAAACAATCAGAATTAAAGGCAATATTAAGGTAAACAGAAACAGAATTGGCACATTAAAATTTATAAGTGAATACTGAAACACCTTAGAGAGTTGAAGTAGGCAACTCAGACAGATCTTTTCTGTTATATAATCAAGTCATTACCAAATAAAGTGGAGATAAAGGAGGAGCTGGGGTCAAATGGGCACCTGCCACGTCCCCTCTCAAGGCGGTGAGCTTCCAGGTGAAACAGATGATCCTTGAAAAAGAAGACAGACAATGTTATAAGGAGCATTTGCTTATACAAATTATTAAACTGTAACAGATTTTGCTATTACTACAGATTAGTAGCAACTAAACCACAAAGCTAGTTCACATGGTGAAGATTCTGAAATGTGCCATCCAGGTACCACAGGCAGAGATCCAACTTGTACCATTTCCATCTTTCTGTTTTGACTGCATGCAGAAAAAAATTACAACAGGAGACTCTTTGCTGAGGTAAATTGGATTCTTGTCCTGTTGTTCAAGAAAGAGGTGCTTTGAAAGAGCAAACAGGGAGAGTGTTCTAGCTCCACACCATGCCCATCCGTGCTTCCCTAAGTTTAAGAGAGAAATTGTCTACTACTTGTGCCTACTAAACCTGTAGCCTGTCCACCTGATCAGTATTTTTTTTTGGGGGGGGGGGAATCCCCAACTGCATGAAGAAAATCCACATATAGCAGAAGCTTTCCTCTTCATACAGTTCCTTTCCCCCCTGTAGGCAGAGACAAGCAGGGAGAACAGCCTAGAACTTTCTTAATTTTGTGCTATCATGTTAGCTATTTATTTTTTTTACTAAGCCTCAGGCTGTCCCCATCTTTGTTCTCTCTCAGATAGGCAATTAGCCATTAAGCTGGTTCTCTTTTGTAGAGATTTTAACAAGCTGGGCATTGGTTGTATCCTAATTTTGCTGGGCTTTTTTTTTGCCATTATGATTGAACCAAGATCTTTTTCTCCATTTGTTATTTGATTATTGATAGCCACCTTTATTGCCATCTTGACAGAAAAATTGGGTTTCAACAACAATTAAATAAGAGATGCCATTTAGAGAATCATCCCCACTGTGTTTGGATCATCTTGCCAAGGGAAATGGCTCAACAGGCAAATACACAAGTGTGGATTCCTTGGTTCATTTTCAGAGAAGATAGCAGAAACTGGAGCAAATAGAAGATGCGGCTTCTTCCCTGTTCAACTGTTACATAATTTACCAACAGATATAATTGAAGAATGATGGGAATTATTCATGAAGAAACTAATGCACATAAAGGGTTTGCCACTTGGGTATTTCACACTGCTGCTGTGGCCACTCCTTTAGCTGTCTCCACATGGAAGTCTCTTCTATACCAACCCAAGTGAGGGTTAAGCCAGAATGATTTCCCAACTAAGGTAATCAAAGAGAATGAAATCAAAAGCAGCATGCACATATGTTGAGAGCTGTTTTGCCAACACATCTGTTTCTTTTATCTAGCAGTCCTTAGTTTGGGGAGGAAAGAGAAATATACCATATTTTTCCATGTATAAGGCTATACTTTTGTCTAAAATCTTTAGACTAAAATTGAGGGTCGTCTTATACACGGAAGTAAGCTGAGGAGAGAACAAAAACAAGTGGAGGGGAAAGCAGGGATCAAAGCTATCCTGCAGCACTTTGATCCCTTTCCCCCCACCCTTGCTAAGCCCCACTTAGATTTCTTAATTTTGAATTAGAAAAGTGGGGGGTATCTTATACATAGGAGTGTCTTATACATGGAAAAATATAGTAAATTAGAATGAATGAATGTTGTTATGTTAAAGAGAATGATTGTCCTATCCCGTTCGGCCAAATCTTGCTCCCCATCCCTTCCACTGGGAACTGGAAAGTGGTGCAAATAGCTTATGATTAGGGCAGGGAGTGCCCTGAAAATTTTGGATTAAAACCCCCTCCCTTGTGTCAGGTCCATGGGCTGTCAACAATGGTGACTGTGCATCTTGACTGTGGCAAATTTTATTTCCTAAGCAAAAACACCTGGAATGACAGCCAGGGGACACCAAGCCTGTTTTTTACATAGAAAGGCTTGATGATTTTACTGCTGCAATTACCTCTTGCTGTTCAGGCTGACAGAAAAGAAAGAAACTGGCCATGACCTCTACCCATCTCAAGAAACCTGCTATGCTATGTTGCCTTCTGAGAGAATGAGTAATGGAGCAATCAGCAAATGTTCATAGTACAATACTATTGCGCTCACAGCTGTTCTACAATTTCAGTTTTAATATATAGCTACCTACTGCAGCTTGCTAACTCTTCAAATTTGCCTATTCTACAGATACTTGTATATTAAATGACAGGGAGAGGTCAAAGCATTGTGTGCAGAAGTTTGAACCTCTTTTGGGTATATTTGTCTTCATCCTATGAATGAATCAAATCTTCTACTTTAAGCAAAGAGGATCACACCTACAAAGAGTTGACATTTGTACAGAGAAAATTGTATGCATGTTAAGAAGGAAGTCAGGCAAACACCTATGTCTCAGTTGCCACACATATTTAAAGCTAGTTGTGTTTCCCAACTGTCACAGATGGAACAAAAAGATGGTCCTGTGCAATTTGTGCAGATGATGGTTTTGTGGGTTGTATAGTTTATCCCACCAGCCAGCTAACTGTGTCTTACTGTATGTGAATGCCATGCTAGGAAGCAGGACACCGTTGAGCAAAGAATGCAGGATGGATGATCATAAGGTGGCCCATATCTGCAGATCAGTGGTAACAACTATTTCTCAGAGTTTTACATTTCTGAAACAGCAGAGGTTGGCATTGCTCTCTCATTGTACAATTTGAGATGGTGCTCATTAGAGATGGGCAGGAACCCTCCCCCACCTCTCTGGCTGGATCCACCACTCACCAACCAGTGTGCACTCCTCTACTCCTACTCTTTGGCTGTTCAAACAGCCTCCAACAGGAGCATGGGCTTCCCTGCCCCATCTCCTTGGCTGACTGCCCATTCAGCCAAGGAGGCAGGATGGGCAAACCCATGTTCCTGCTGGGGACCGGTGAAGCAGCTGAAGAGAAGGAAGACAGGGGTGCACGCCGGCTGGTGAGTGGATCACTGGCTGGGGAGGAGGGGAAGGCAATATGCAGCAACTCTGGTGCCATGTGTATGAACTGACACGAACCTCTGAACCGAGGTTCATGCCTATCTCTAGTGCTCATATTGTTGTAGAATGTCAATTAAAAAGTGAGGTCCCTGTCCTCAGGGACTTACCATCTACATTCTGAAGGAAGAACAGACAAAGAAATAAGGGCGTGATAATGAGAAGGCAGCTAGAAGTGAATATGTGTAAATGGTGGTATAACAATCTTAGATACTCTTAGAACGGCAGAGTTAGGACGGCAGAGTTAGAATGGACCATATGGATATTTAGTCCAACCCTTGTCAAGGAGGCATAATGGGGAATCCGACTTTCGACCTCTGGCTCCACAGCGAGATGCCTAAACCACTGAGCTATGGGGTTCCTGCCAATGGGGAGTCAAACAAAAGATTTAGTGAAAGAGGTACATTTTTAAAAGTAGCTTGGAGGAAAGGAAATGTGGTGCTAGGCAAGTATTCTGTGATGGAGTTCAAAATGGAGAAAGACAAAGCCCATTTACCAATGTTACACCAAACAAGCATTTACACTGATGCCAAGAATGACAAACACAATCACAATCACTGTTGCTTTTTCTTTTACCAGCTATTGTTCATCCCTAATAACATCAGAAAACTAGCAGTTGTATATTCTTACCAGTAACTGTTTCGTGGATGCTCACTGTGCCTGAAGGTTCTTCCTCCAGCACAACTCTATATGGAAAGGTGTTTTATATAAATGTATTTCCTTGGATCATAAGTTATTGGATGTTTAGGTTGCATTTGCTTGAAAATAATGGCTTTGATCAATTTGGGTAGTGAAACTGGAAAAGAAATGTCATGTCCCAAAGAAAGGCATAATATAATATTCTTTTTTCACTTTATGACTTTATCAAATTTTAAACCAGACGTCTTTGCTGACACTGGTGATGAATGAAACTGGAATATATAGTTGGAGATAAAATGCATCATATAGGGGAAGACATTAAGCTTTTGGGCATTGATATTTGAAATAAAATTTAAAGAAAAGAAGCAATGGAATGTTCACTGCATGGCCTGAATAGGTTTCTACGGATGTTCCTACTTTTGCTGTCATCTGAAGTCTTTGTTCCTCATGCTCTGTGTGTAAGAGAGGGAGTGGGAAAATAGGGGGAGAGACTCGAAATCCTGTAAAAGAAAACCTGGTTCCAATATCACCTCTGAATAAATCAAGGTCAACTTTTCTTCTGAGCCTGGCTAAGCTTTTGGACCAGGCTCAAACTTGTAGTTCAGGCTGACACCCATGAAAGTCCAAAGTTTGTCAGAAATGGGTTTATGTTAGACAAACAAAAGTCAGCTCTGCATCTAACATCCAAAGACCTGTCAGTGGCAATTTACACTTCATCGGGGTGATTGCATCAATGGGAGAAGATGCTGCATGAATATCTTGTTGCAGGAATTCAGCCAGATTGTTTATGAAGGGGTCAGGAATGTTCCCTTTTCTTCTGTCTTAATGCAAGAGTAAAGAAAAAGATAGATAGATAGATAGATAGATAGATAGATAGATAGATAGATAGATAGATAGATAGATAGATAGATAGATAGATAGATAGATAGATAGATAGATAGATAGATAGATAGATAGATAGATATTCAACTGGTCTAAAAGCTGTTTCCAAATAAATGCTTGGGTAGATTTTTATTTTAACCAGTCTTTTTTGTTGTTGTTGTTGCTATTTTTAAGCAAGTTTTACTTTAAACAAGTTTTACTAGTTTTAAGGTGTTTAAGCAGTAAGTTGTCTCAGGTATGATGGTTTTTAACTGATAGATTTTAAATTTTTTAAATTGTTTTTACACTTGATCCCTTGAATTTTAATGTATGTTTAACTGAGTTTTCTTAAATTGTCATGTTTATATAGTGTTTTAAAACTTATTTTAAAAATAAGTTTTACATACACACACACGCAGACACACAGCATTTTCAATAGTTAATGTATGTTGCTGGTGTACTTACTATGAAAGCAAGATGCTAAATAAATACTTCTCCATGGTTAACATGAAGAATAAACCCTTCCAATTCCCTCCATATAGTGTAGTTGGGGATGAAGCTCACAAAACGTGGCTGCATTTTGACTTAAATGAAAAA